AAAGGGTACCCTTATTATTCAGGGTTACTGGGGAACCTAGGACTTCTCTTGGAGAAGCAGCGCAGAGCCAGCTTCGAGCTCAGGGAGCAAGATGCGGATCTGCTGAAGCGGCTGGAGAAGGTGGGCTTTCTCTTGGACTCAACTTCCACGAACCTTTGTCATAGTTGGCTAACATTTTTAAATTTGTATGGCTACTTACAATAAATTTAGGAATCGAAGTGTAGATTTGATACAGACCATCCCAACCATGAAATAGGAACACCTCGAACTATTTGTCGACTGGGTCGGGTACGTACTTGGATGTCGGTGCTTCCGAGCTCATTGCGGATGGACAGATCCAGCTCAAGACTGGCAGTGCCGTAGCCTTTAGCGAATCTGCAGTGGTCACCGACGATGGAACCCATCTTAGTGCCGACACAGTAGTCTTTGCCACGGGCTACGCGCCACTGTCGAAGCTCATCGCCGAACTTTTGGGGAAAGATACGGCGGCACGCCTTGGCAGGATATGGGGCTTGGGTACGGGCATTGCCGGAGATGAAGGACCTTGGGAGGGAGAGCTGCGGAACATGTGGAAGAGAACCAACGTGGAAGGTCTCTGGCTGCACGGCGGCAATCTTTTGCAAAATCGCATCTACTCGCTCTTCCTGGCCTTGCAACTTAAGGCCCGATATGCTAACATCCCTACGCCTGCCTACAACGCGCACAACAAGGGCTTTGAGTTCCTGGGGGCTTGAGACTATTCGCTCTGGCTTGGCCCAGTTTTTTGAGGAGCCTTCAACAGCGCAGTGTACAGTTGTAAAGAGCACTTGCGCATCTTCTAATGCTGAGCCCGACTGTACAGCCTGGTGTTCCAGGAAGCCTGCACGCCCAGAGTGCAGCAGATCTTAATCTTTTGGTTCCAGCTCGCTTCTCGGCGACGTATGACATGAATAGCCGCGCACATGGCGCACAAAGTGGCGGACCTGCTTTCCTAAACCCTAAACTTCCCTAAACCCTAAACCCTGACGCCTGAACCCTAAACCCGAAACCCTGAACCCTAAACCCTGAACCCTAAACCCTAAACCCTGAACCCTAAACCCTGAACCCTGAACCCTAAACCCTAAAGCCCCCACCGTGCTCCTCTGAGCTTCAGAGCTTGGGTCGGGGACCCTCTGAGCTTAAGACGGCCGAGGCTTCGGGGATGTAGAGGAAGTGCAGGTGTACCCTAAGGGTCCGTGCACCCAACTATAGTATATATGGGTGCCTGCTAGGGTATCCTTTAAGGGTTCTGGCATAGGGTACGGGATGTAGAGGAAGTGCCGGCCCAAGATGGTTTTATAAAGGGCCTATTAAGGCTCAGGGCCCCTTAGTTGTCTAGTTTAGGGCATTAAGGGTTTCGGGCTTAAAGGGTTTAGGGTTTAGGGGTTAGGGGTTTAGGGGTTTAGGGGTTTAGGGCTTAGGGGTTTAGGGGTTTAGAGGCCACGCAGACCGAATCACGAACACCCATTATTGGGGTCGGAATACTTGCCAATCCCTAAAGGTTCATGTACCCAGATAGTATATACTTTGGCCTTAAAGTAGTCCCTAAAGTTGGTACTTTGGGGCCAAAGTGTATACTAGTTGGGTACATGGGCCCTTAGGGTTCAGTATAAGGATTTTACCTTAGATTATAGTAGGGATAAAGTATATACTATTTGGGCACATGGCCCCTTAGGGATCTGCCCATTCAGCCCACTTGGGTACATGGACCCTTCGGGAATACTTATTCTGCCCCGGGTCTCCTTGTTTTAAAACCCTAAACCCCTAAACCCCTAAACCCTAAACCCTGAACCCTGAACCCTAAACCCTAAACCCTAAACCCCTAAACCCCTGAACCCTGAACCTACGAAGAAACTCAGGCCCCCGAAGAGTAAGCACTTGCCAGGTCGATGGCGACACCTTCGTGAACCTTTGGGCTCTGAAGCTGCGCTTGCAGCGTTACTTCAACTCGAAGCCTGACTGATGCTTGGGGTTTAGTGTTTAGGGTTAGGGTTTAGGGTTTTTAGGGTTTAGGGTTTGTAGGGGTTTAGGGTTTAGGGATTAGACTGATGACGGTGGCAAGGTGAAGCGAGATACTGAGAAGGCAGTAAGTAGCCCTAACCCTACAGCACCCTAAAGCCCCGCACCGCTGAATCCTAACCGTAGGGACAGGTTGCCGACCATGATGGTGATGGAGCCCGAGCCGATGGTGCTGATGATTTAGGGCTTAGGCTTAGGGTTTAGGATTTAGGGTTTTGGGCTTTGGGCTTAGGGTTTAGGGTTTTAGGGTTTACCTATAGTCTCCATTGTAGTTTTTTTGGGGGTTACCTTATAGCATCCTTAATATACTGTTGGTTAAACCAAAAAAAAAGAAACCACAATGGAGACTATAGGTAGGCTTTCGTTGGTAAACAGACTGCTGTAGTCAGCCGATTTTACCGCAGGCTTCTTGGTTTGATGTTGTGATTCTTGATGTTTTGTCATAGCACTGCTTTAGTCTTGCTTAAAGGGCCAAGCAGCCGTCGCAGTCGTGGTCGTAGCGGTTGTCGTAGTCGGAGTTGTAGTCGTATCAGTCAGTGGTCGTAGTCGTCGTAGCTGTGGTAGTACCCGTAGCAGTAGAAGTCGTCCTGGTAATGGTAATGGTCGTCGTCGTAGTAGTACTAGTCGTAGTCGTCGTCGTAGTAGTAGTAGTAGTCGTCGTCGTCGTCGTCGTCGTAGTCGTCGTCGTAGTCGTCGTCGTCATCGTCGTCATCGTCGTCGTCGTCGTCGTCGTTGTCGTTGTCGTTGTGGTTGTCGTTGTTGTTGTTGTTGTAGCAGTTTCAGTAGCTGTAGCACTAGGAGCAGTAGTACTAGTCGTCGTCGTGGCTGATATTGAGGATCCGGATCCATAGTCTGTTTTGTTGCAACGCTGCAACGTCTGCGGTCAAACTATATAGAGTTTAAGGTTTGGGGTTTCTGGCATGTGAAGCCTTACATGCCTTAAATCGCCAATGGAAACTTTCGGACAACTTTCCTGCAGGTTGCCAAACTCCTTCGAGACTTAAACCGCCGTACTCTACACCCCTGAAAGAGGGGTCTTGACAACAAGAGTAGAGTTTTCGGGGTATAGCATAGTATAGTTCTATGGGGACTTTCGGGGGGATAGCTGCACTAAATATTCCCTCTGAATCCTGAGGCCGAAATTCTCAGAAAGCATTGCCCTCAGACCAAAGTCATAACAAATCCTCGACCTGAATTTGGAATCCCGAAAACCGAAAACCCTAAACCCGAACTCGAAACCTCTGGACCTGTTTAAGGTTCATTTTTAAATGGTTTCTGCACACACACATATAGATAGATCGATAGATAGATGGATAGATGGATAGATAGATAGCTTAACCGCCAAGGAGTGAGAGCCACTACCTGGGTTCTCCCAAGACCTCGCATCTGGCTTCTGGCACGCAGTTGACCCTTGGCGAGGTTTAGGGTAAAGGGCTTCTGTTCCCTTGTAAAGCTGGTTGAGGGGTTTAGTGCCCTATCGTCCCTAAACTGTAAACCCTGTTGAGGCAGTTGTGGAGAGGCTCCGTTGCTTTCGGGTTCCGTCTCGGGCTTAAATGTAAACCACTGATGAATAAGGCACCCTGTCTGAAAGGACCCTAATATTATAAGGAGGGTTTAGGGTTTCGGGCTTAGATTAGGGTTTAGGCTTTGGGGCTTAGGGTTTAAACAGGATCTCTAGTCTAATCCTTGTTCAGGGGGGGGTCTAACAATCAGGGGGTGTACGTTACCAGGGTTCAGGGTCCAGGGCGGGGATAAGGTCTTGTAGAGTTTAAGGCTTATTGGGTTCTGGGGGTTGAAGATTTTATTTAGGGTTTAGGGTTTAGGAACTTCAGGGTTGCGGTTTTCGGGCTAAGGGATTCAAGGTGTGGGTCTTGGGACTCAGTTTTTGTTTTCAGGGCTCGCCTGCTACCCTGAACTCTTGAACCCTGTTTAGGGTTTAGGGTTCAGGGTTTAGGGCTTGGGGTTTAGGGTTCAGGGTTTAGGGTTCAGGGCTTAGGGTTTAGGGTTTAGGGCCCAGGGTTTAGGGCTCCGGGGCTTAGGGATTTAGGCGTTTAGGGTTTTAGGGGTTTAGGGATTTAGGGTTTAGG